TTAATTTCTAGGTCTATTACATGCAACATTTGAAGACAGAACTGGGATTGTGCTCTGTAAGTGTGAAACTAGAACTGAATGAGACCAGATAAAATTTTGGCATTCCACTTCAGTAACAAAGAAGCCTGAAGGATTTCTAAAGAATGTATACTTCCAGAACTGAAAATAATATATTTATATGTTAGATCTGATTATAGGGGAGAAATAAATATGGTTATGGTACAAACCATAGATGAGGAAGCTGAATGATTTCCTATATACTCAAGCAGTGGGTGGGATTCAAAAATTTTTACTACCGGTTCTGTGGGCGTGGCTTGGTGGGCATGGCAGGGGAAGGATACCGTAAAATCTCCAGTCAGAGGTGCTATTTGCTGGTTCTCCAAACTACTCAAAATTTCCGCCACCGGATCTCCAGAACTGGTCACAACCCGCCGAATACTACCTCTGTACTCAAGGTTGGTTTATTTTACAAAATATACACTTCACATGTATTAAATCTAATACCTATAAATAATCTACTTACTGGTGCCTAATGATATTTTGATATGTGGCAGTGTTATAGCTAAAAGCGAAAAGTGACAATGCACAACCCATTTTTATTCTCTGTTTTTTTGTTTTAATGGCCAACCTTTTCCTGTAATAAGGCAGTATTCTTTTCCTACCCTTCAAGGCAGGGGTCTCCAAACTTGGCAACTTTAAGACTTGTGGACTTGAACTCCCATAATTCCACAAGTCTTAAAGTTGCCAAGTTTGGAGACCTCTGTTTTAAGGACTGGGAATGTTGTTCCTTTTACTCAAGAGTGTAATATCCTTTTACTTATCCCTGTATGATCTTCTACCATTCAGCCATTGTAGAGGCGGTCATCAGTTTACAACCAGAGTTGTAAGGGAACTCCATTGCTAAGCCACAAGGTCCTATAGAGAAAAGTCATGTGACTGCTCCAACTTACAGTGGCACTTCCAGTAGTTCCAGAGGGGGTATTCAGCAGGTTCTGACCAGTTCTGGAGAACCAGTAACAGCAATTTTGAGTAGTTCGGAGAACTGGCAAATACCACCGCTGACTGGAGACCCGTCCCCTGCTATGCTCACCAAGCCACACCCACAGAACCAGTAGTAAAAAAATTTGAACCCCACCACTGAGTAGTTCTAATTGCAGTCATTAAATGTGGTGACACAGGACTGTGGCTTGCAACTTCCTGCTGCTTCCCCATTGACTTGCTTGTTGAAGCCAGCAGTGAAACTTGCAGAAGGCGATCATGTGACTACAGGACACTATGAATTTGTAAATTCATGTTGGTTGCCAAGTGTCCTAATCACAATCAAATCATTATAAAGGCATTTGCAACAACCACACCGGCCTTCACAGGAGAAGCCTTCTCATTGCCTTGAATGCCTGCTGAATCAGTGCTCACTAAGTGAAGATTACTTGCCTTCGGAAGCTGCTGCTGAATTTTAAAGTAGTCTTCCAATTGATCTCTTTTATTGAATTGCCTCTCTCTCTCTCTCTCTCTCTTTCTCTCTCTCTCTCTCATTCTTTATCAGTTTGTGGGAAAGAGAAAAAAAAACCCTACTTTTTGCTAAGTGGCTACAAAGGCTTATGAAGCCTTAAGGCTCTGTGTACGATATCTTTCTTAAGCACACTAGTAATTTTTGAGCTTCTTTTCTATATAGGCAAAGGCCTTTCCAAATTATTAAAGTGATTTCACCAAACTGCACCCAAATCTCTGGAACACAGCCTTAAGGTCATCATTACCTGTGTTCGTTGATGAAGAAACATTTCTCGTCCTTCGTAGTCAATCAGCAGTCAAATCATGAAGATCGGGGAGGGCAAACCTCACTATGAATTAAGTGAAGACGAAAATGGATTTTCTACTTTGTGACCTCCCTTTGACAAGGAACTCAGAAGGCTATGTAAGGTGCATTGGGAAATGGAGGTTCAAGGAAACGAAAAATTGAAATAAAAATGTAATTACAAAGGTATCGCAATCATATAAAAATGACAGAGAGTCCATCAACACTATGGAAGAGTAAAGCGACACATCTTATTTTTAGAGTCCAGACTCTTTATAGAATAAAATATAATTCTTTATTGGCCAAATGTGACTGGGCACACAAGGAATTTGTCTTGGTGCAAATGCTCTCAGTGTACACAGTCTACTAAAAGAAAAGATACATTCGTCAAGAGTCAAGAATCATCAGGTACAACACTTAATAATAGTCATAGGGTACAATAAGCAATCAAATCATACTAGGAAACAGTCAATATAGATTGTAAGAATACAAGCAATAAGGTTATAGTCATACAGTCATAAATGGGAGGCAATGGGTGATAAGGAGTGATGAGAAGATTAATAGTAATAGTAGTGCAGACTTTGTAATAGTTGGACAGTGTTGAGGGCATTCTTTGTTTAGCAGAGTGATGGCGTTCGGGAAAAAAACTGTCCTTGTGTCTAGTTGTTCTGGTGTGCAGTGCTCTATAGCATCGTTTTGAGGGAAAGAGTTGAAACAGTTTATGTCCAGGATGTGAGGGGTCTGTAAATATTTTCACAGCCCTCTTTTTGACTCGTGCAGTATACAGGTCCTCAATGGAAGGCAGGTTGGTAGTAATTGTTTTTTCTGCAGTCCAACTTATCCTCTGAAATCTGTGTCTGTCCTATTGGATTGCAAAACCAAACCAGACAGTTACAGAGCTGCAGATGACAGACTCAATCATTCTTCTGTAGAACTGGATCAGCAGCTCCTTGGGCAGTTTGAGCTTTCTGAGCTTTACGTTCAATTTTGACTCCTTCTTTGTCGCCTTTTCTCACAGCCAAACTCTGTTCTCAAGCTGCATCTCACAAATACTTGCCAAGGTGAAACACAGCATGGCTATTCTTCTCCAACTTCCTTGATGGTTCTGATTTGGGTTAGGGATAGTGACAGGTTTAATTGCTCCTAGGACTAGATGTCTTGAAAAAACCCATGAGAGTTGCCATCATTTCTTGCTTCAGAACAATCCAATGTGCATTCCTTACTGAGACCTCTAATTCTACAGAAGTTTTACTTACACATGAACATAATATAAATAAGATATACAATGTATGTATTTTTAATAGATATGTATACAACATACAATAATCGCTCAGATTCTCAGAGTCTTCCTGAACAAGTCTAACCCTAATCTTGCAGTTTTCTTGGCAAGATTTTTTTCAGAAGTGGGTTTGCCAATGTCTTATTCCTAGGGCTGAAAATTACTAGTCCAGTGTCATCCAACCAGTTTTCTGCCTAACATAGAAGTGGTCTCTCAATTTTGCCTTAACCATTGCACTGAACTGGCTCACATAATATATGTATGTATGTATGTGTCTATTCTACAAGTTGGAGTAGAATTTGCAGCAGCTTCCTTACATTACAAATCCAGCAACTAACATTTAAATAAACTATTAAAATTGAATGCCAAAGAAAGTAGCAAATATTTATATTCTTATAGGCTCTTGCCAGCAGGTGCTGAATTATACTCTCAGTAGGATCTTTGCAAGCCAAAATAGTCCACATAGTAACACTACAACATATCAAGGTTTACTTTCACAATCCAAATTGTCAAATGACTCCCACAACACTATTTAACCAAAAATAATTCTTACCATTCTCAGTAGGGTTTTCTCACTACAAATGGCAATGGGATTGTATTAACCCCAAGTTTTTATACCAGGGACTCGTTGGAAACACTTGATTAATCTATTATAGCTATTTTACCCAACTAATGTAGCAAGCCCCTTGGCATTACTACTCTTTTGCATTTTAGTATGTAAATGACCGTGGGCCTCACAGTTTAAGGATTGATATTACAGTATAATTAAGCCACATGTAGCTAACAGATAGGATACCAAATTGTGATTTTAATATAGATTTTATCTGTTATTTTATTTTATAATTTTTAACTGGCTATACCTCAAGTGTTTTTATTCGTTCAAGTCTCTGGTCTTTAACTGTAATATACCTGATTTGATTTGAAACGGAGTTTTTTGAGTTTTATATGCCAAACTTTAAATATAAACGTGGTTCTGAATTCACTTCTTTTCATTGTTCAAAACATCAAACCAAAAAAGGCTTAAAATACCCTAAATCAGTGGTCCCCAAACTTGGCAACTTTAAGACTTGTGGACTTCAACTCCCAGAATTCTCCAGCCAGATATGCTGGCTGGAGAATTCTGGGAGTTGAAGTCCACAAGTCTTAAAGTTGCCAAGTTTGGGGACCACTGCCCTAAACCAATCCAAACAAGCACACTAACCTAATTCAACACTAACTGCGCCTAACCTGACCCTGCAGCCATTAGATTCCTCAATGATCTAGCAGTTCTTTGCTTCATCAGGATCCCCTTATAAAATTGAATTCACCCATTTTTTAAAAGGGAACGTGGTTGAAAATTAACGGCTGCCGTACTTTTATTTCCGCATTATTTAATTCATTCAGCCTTGGGTAATAGCCATTAGTTTAAATATAGCAGGCGCTCAATAGGATTTGTCCTCTGTGTTGAATCATTAGCTCTCTGTAACACAAAAGCGTTACAGCATGATTTTAACTACCAAAAATGGCAAGCAAGTCTCCATCACAAGCGCCCTCTGAAGGCTGACTTCAAGAACCACAGCTGACAAAGCAGCATCTCAGGTGTTTGTTTTTTTGCAGAATATTGAGGATTTTGTTTCCTTGAAAACAGCACGTTTTTGAGTTCGGCGCATTTTCAAGTTCATGGTTGATATTTTCCCCTGTTGTTGCTGTCTGCTGTTTTACAAAAGTACAGCTCTGTATCCCTGAATCCAAGTTAGAAACAAAAAAAAAAAACATATCAAAAGTAAAATGTATTATAAGCTAATACAGAAGGCTCCAAACTTGGCAATTTGAAGACTTGTGGACTTCAACTCCCAGAAATCCTCAGTCAGCTATGCTGGCTGGGGAATTCTGGGAGTTGAAGTCTGCCAGGCTTAAAATGGCCAAGGTTGGAGACCTCTGCACTAGCGCTGTGAGTTGAAGTCCACAAATCTTAAAATCACCAAGTTTGGGGAGCCCTGGGCTAATAGAACAGCAAGAAATGTAGTGGATCACTGACTAATTTTGTTTCCTATTTCACAGCAAGGTTTATAAAGAGGTAAACTCACTGACAGAAGGAGAGGCAGGATGCTATAATAGTCAGGGGTTGGATTAGGACCAAATTCAATTCGACTCTCAGTCATGGAAATATACTGAGTTAATCTGAGTCAGCTACATCCCCCCAGTTCAACATAACTCATGGAATTGGTGGTGTCGGGAAAAATGGGAGCACTATGTATGCAATTGTGCAAATAGATTTTTCACATATGAAAAAAGTTCATTCTCCTTTGTACATACACAAAGTTGGCCCCAATGTAAGTTGTTCTTAACTCAAAGACATGATTTGCACCTCCCGTTTCCATCACACATCCAGCAATTGAGACTTGACTCTTATATCAATCTAGAAGACAGGATACCATCCTCTAGTGCAGAGGTCTCCAACCTTGGCCACTTTAAGACTTGCGGACTTCAACTCCCAGAAATCCTCAGTCAGCTATGCTGGCTGGGGAATTCTGGGAGTTGAAGTCCGCCAGGCTTAAAGTGGCCAAGGTTGGAGACCTCTGCACTAGCGCTGTGTTTCTCAACCTCAGCAAGTTTAAGATGTGTGGACTTCAACTCCCAGAATTCCCAGTCACCCAATAACAAAGAACCATTGGAAATTCAAGAAGAACAGGCTGATCAGTAATCATCAGTAGACGTTCAGCTGGCTAATCTTGGGTACTGTGAAAAGGCACCAAGTACTAATGTTGTCATTAATGAATTGACTCATTCTTATCACCATGTTGCCATCTCTGTGTAGAAAACAAGGGAGCTGCTTGGGAATTATACATATGAGTGAGGCTGGGATATATTTTCATTTCAGGCAGCTAAAAATTCTTGGCCTGGCTGACCCAAAAGTGCTTCATGAGAAAAGTGAGGGAAGCAAAACAGATAATTTGTGAGAAACAGAGCAAGTAAATGTTAGAAATGGAACTATTGGAAGGACCCAGACTTGGGTTTCCTTTTATGTCCTTGGCGTTACCCTTATCACATGTACAATATGTAATAGCAATAGCACTTATTATTATTACCTTTATAAGTACAACATGTGTACAATGAGATTGGCTGAGCCTCCCTTCATGCATTCCCCCCGCCCCCAACACAACTCACAGTGAGGACAGAAGTCCCTAACCCAGTCCCAATCTTATTACACTATATGACCTTGGTGCACAACGCACCAGCCCAGCAAGTGTATCATACTATGTTGACATGAAGTTATTTTCTGTTCAGAAGTCTGACAGCCCACAGGTAGAAACTGTTCTTCAGCCTGTTGGTGTGGCTGGCTATGCTTCTATATTTCCTACCCAATGGTAGGAAAGTGAAGAAGTGCTGACCGGAATGTGAGTCGTCCCTGAGAATTTTCCTCACTCTTCTAAGTACTTATATATGCTTAAGACTTATATACCACTTATATCCCACTTCTAGCCCTCTCTAAGCGGTTTACAGAGTCAGCATATTGCCCCTAACTATCCGGGTCTTGTAATGATGACATCTGGACTCTGCAATGTTCAAAGGGATACGCAGAGTAGATTTTTTTTGAGTTGTTTGCAGGTTAATTACAGTAGGTTTCCTGTGATGCTAACCTACCCAAATCCCCGCTAAACACATTTTATTTGTCAAAATGAGGTGGCAAATCCAGCACCTTCATCTAAGCTCAGTTTATTTTTCTGGTGTTGTCCACCCCAAGAACAGCTTTCTAAACTGGGGGCAACCCGGCTTCACCATCTGCCGGAAATCTAATTTTGCATGCAGAAGAGAAACATACTTCACAATGGAGCCCGTAAAAAGTTGTAAATGATTTAAATGCATTCATATGTTCCCTGCAGAATTGAGCGTGCATCTGCGCCGCCTCCTCCTCCTCATGTTACAGACACAAATCAAGTGGAAAGTACCCAGCTTTGACTAGCAGACTGTCCCTTGGATGACAATTTTCCCATACCACTTTAATTTTTTGGTGGCTCTGCCTGTTTTTGGTAAACAGCTCTGCCTCGCAGCGATCATTTGACAGCATTTTCTTTCTGCCTGCTTTTCAAAACTCTTCATCAGCTTCATGTAAATATTGCTCAATCAATCCGTTGAAGCAGACAAAAGTGAATCAGGTCCAGAACAGAGAAGCATCTCTGCAGCTGGGCTACTTGGGAGTTTTCAAGCCTTCTTGTCCTATAGCCCATTGATCCAAGGTAATAGGCAATATTTAGAAATGTTTTTTTACAGGACAATTTGACTTACATTTTTCTGGACATTTACTAAGAAGATAATGTGTGACAGCTTCTTCAGTTACGATGTTCATGTATCTAATCAGGAACCAAAGAATTCCAGGTGTGCCTTTGATAATCTTCCCATAGTATCTATGATGGACAAGCCCATTGATTCAAAACACGCCTTTCTAAGTTTCATCATAGGGGTGCTTTTGTTACAATTGTAATAAAGTTAGCCCAAGTAGAAGTAAATGTATCTGATTCTGTTTCTCTATTTAATTCCTTGCAATGTTAACAACATCCCATGTGCATTTATACAAGTGGAATATATTCTGATTCCTTCCCTGGTGTGGACAGTGCTAATCTAATAGTCATCAAAGACCAATAGTCGTTGGGCAGGAAGAGCTTCCTAGAGACCATTCAAAATAGTTAACAAAATTAAAAGACTTTCTCCTCAAACCTACCATGCCATTTACATATTCTTGAGTCAATCAATAACCATTTTGTCACGACATTCTCTGTCACCATTCCCAATATCCAGCCAGATTTCAGGGGGAACTTGGATTAAAATCTCATCTTGTTCTCCACACAGGTATTTAAGGAAGACATTACTTAGCTCACAGAGTGAAAAATTATACACCGCTGTGGCGAATCCTACCATACATCATTTCAAGGTATGGTGTAGATGATTCAAGGTCCAGAGATGGATAAATCTCTCAAAATCCCTGGATTATGACTGAAATCAACCTCCGAGTCCACTATAAGCCAACCTGGTACATTCTTTAAAAATAGGTTCCAGAATGTGGTTGCAAAATACTGTAGCCCAGAATCTGGTTGAGTTCAAATTTCCTAAGTAATCATTAATACTGTACAAATGCAAAGCTACAGAACTCTATCTCAGATTTGGGGGACCTCATTAGATTAATCTGATCTCTACTCCCCCCCCCTTTTTTAAAAATTCACGAATTGTTAGAATTGTCTAACAATTGAGCATGCAGATCATCCAGACTGTTGTCGGCAACTACACTTAAGGAAGCTAATAGTTGCAACAACCTATGATATATTAGATGTTAAACCTATTTAACAATAGGCTCTATCGCTAGAGCAATTAAAGTAAACTGCAATTTTGGATTATTTAAAACAATTTTTACTCCCTGCCCTATTTAATGCTAAAATAACCATTTTCAGAACAGTTTATAACCCAAACTGCAAGTGTTACTAAACAGGACATTTCTCAATTGACTTGTCTACAGATGTAGGTTGTGTGAAGCTTACCAGGAAGGCTTACTAAAGGATCAAGTCTCAAAATTTTCTAGGCAGGCTGAGATAATTGAAGCAAAAGAGATAATCAGCTACTGGTCTAACCACAGTCAATGGCCGTGGTTTGGTTGATCCCATCCTTTTTGATTAGGTCACTGACTCAAATATTATCTATCCACCCATCATTTCTTTTGGGTTAATCCATTGGCAAGACTGATCACAGACAGGAAACTTTATCTTTAGAGATTCAGAGTCCTTCTCCTCCTCTCTCCCCGCTCTTAAAGTAAGCCATGTTCATTAAGCTTACTAAACATTGTCCCAATCCTAAATTTCAAATCCTTCAAAACCAGAAGGCCGATGATGAGAATTAAAGGGAAAAAAAATGCAAAGTAAGCACATTGCAATTCCATTTGTTTTGGGAGGAGAATCAATACTTGCCTAAATTAAATTAAATTAGTTTATTGGAAAAAGGATAAGGCTTCAGCTTAAGCCTCTGTTGCTGAAAATCGGTGGTCCATGAAAGTGTTTCTTGGATCATACCCACTGTGATTTTGAGAAGAGTAGCTGAAGGATTGTGTTTGCTTTGAAAATGACCCGTAAGAAGTGCTTTGAACCTCAGGTGAACCTAACTGCTTTTCCCTGGAGCGTGATGCCTTTCCTTAAGCTTCCATAGGAGTCTGAAAACAGACATTCCTGCTTAAAGAAATGGTATCATTTATTAAACAAGCATTTCTTTAAAACAAATGAATTATTTCTGAAGTATGTATGGAGCAAGGTAACACCAATGGGTATCTGGCAAAGTAGATTTCTATTTGCCACTAAATTTTGAATATGTTATTCATACATTTATATTCAGCTAGTTTATATTCAGTATCAAAAAGTAAATTTATTTTGGTTGAAATAAAATTACTCCTAGTGAGGAATAGTCTCATTTAGAGATGTTATTGTTTTCAAGTTAAGGGGAACAAGAAGCAGAAAAATATATACGGCCGTCTCCAGCTTCTGGGTCCATCACTGATGTCAAGAAGAGCAATGAGAAAATAAAAATAAAGAAGAATATTTAATTTTCCTTCTCATCTCTGAGAAATGTATGCCAGAGAGATGAAAAGTTTTCTTTTTCCTTTTTTTTAAACAGGTTTAAATAGATTTGAAGCCATCTTGAACTTTTTACCTTGCTATTTTGAAGCCTAGCGGTATGGTATAAATTTCAAGCAAATCAAATATTTGTGCTCGTTTTCACTCTCAGATATATTTCTTCTCATACCTTCTCAAGTTTTAGAGGAAATGTTAACCTTTTCCACCCTCAGAAACATTTATCACTAAGATCCTTTCCACAGACACTTTCTCTCGAAGAAAGTTTCTCAACTTTGGCAACGTTAAGCGCCACGGACTTCAACTCCCAGAATTCCCCAGCCAACACGCTCCAGAATAGATCAGGGGTCCCCAACCTTGGCAACTGTAAGACTTGTGGGCTTCAACTCCCAGAATTCCTCAGCCAGCCTCCAGCCACTAGATGGGGCTAGAGAGCCACAAGAGTATATAAAAGTTATATGCTGGAGCATGACAGGGCCAATGAAGGAAGAAAGCTGTTGGAGAGAATAGGTAACAAAAGAAGAAGGTCCACATCCTGGGTCCTGTCCTATGACGCCGTTTGGACAAAGGAACCAATGCTTGTTGATTCTTTTGGATTGAGATGGATAACCTCTCTGGCCCTGAAGCTCTTTAGAGATGACAACCAGCACCTTGAATTCAGTGGTGGGATTCAAATTCTTTTAATACAGGTTCTGTGGGCGGGGCTTGGTGGCCGTGGCCATGTGACTGGGTGGGCGTGGCTTTTTTATTTGCTTTTTTGCAGCCAATCCCCCCACCCATTTTTGGGGCCTTCTGGGCCTCAGGCAAGGCTCCTGGGGGGGCATTTTTGCTCCCAGAAGGCTCCACTGGGGCTCAGGAAGAAAAAAAACATAGGAGGGGCATGCAGCAACCCCCCCATTTCATTTTGGGGCCTTCTGGGCCTCAGGGAAGCCCCGTGGGGGGGTGTTTTTGATCTCAGAGTGCTCCCCTGGGTCTCAGCAAGGGGAACCCCGGCGCAGCTGATCATATGAACAGCTGATTGTCAGGAGGGGAAAAAAAGAAATACCTTAAGGGGCGTCAGGCGGGCGGGATGAGCAAGCATCGGGTGGGTGGGGCGAGCCAGCGGCGACCAGGTGATCAGGCTGGGGGCGTGGCCAGCCAGAACTTACTACCGGTTTGGCCACCGAAGCCAAATCCTTGCTACCGGTTCCCAAGAACCAGTGTGAACCGGCTGAATACAACCACTGCTTGAATTGCAGCTGGATAGCCAGGCCTTATGCCATGGAAGCTTTTATTGATAGTAGCCAACATCTGAAATAAGTGTACTGGGAATCAATGAGCTCATACAACAGAGGTGTTCCCTGGGCACACCGTGGAATACCTCTAACACCCTAAGATACTATTTTCTGAATTAACTGCAGATTCCAAAAGACCTTAAAAGGTAGGCCTAAGTAGATAGCATCGTCACAGTCACAAATAAGGTGACCAAAGTATGACTGGCTGCCTGGACATCCTTTTGGTCTGGAAATGGGCACAACTGATACACAACTATATGCAAAAGTCCTCCTAGTCATAGCTGCCACTTGTAGAAATGGGTAATGCGAGTTCAGAGAAACCCCCCAATTGTGCTGCAGACCCAAACAGGATATTTAGAACACACAAAGCCACAATATCCTGCAACACCTAATTAATAACTCAGGATTTATTGAGATGGAAGGGATAACGGTACAATTCCAGCAACAGAATAATTTCCCACTTAGAATCAATATGTCCCTTAGGACAGAGACTTTTTAATTTTCTTCCTAACATTCTTCCTAGGATTCTGTGGTGAATTAGGCCTTTTAAGTGGTAATGGAAATGCTTGCGACACTGTTTACAAAATGGCCTCCTGATTGGAACCAGTCCTGTGTTTCCTTTTACCTCTCCTCTGCAACTGCACACCAAAGAAAGCATCCACAGCTGTATTTCCACAGAGGGCAAACTGCCCATGGTCTTTGTAGTCTGCACCATCTTGAATTTTGGGCAAGAGATCACAGCTACTGTGGACATTTCAACTTGTTTTTTAAACATGATGTTCTTGCACCTTTAGTCAAAGTTAGGCTTAGAAACACATGACCCTACGGAGTAACTTAATTCCAGATCCTGACAAAGTGGCAAAGCTTGAGTAAAATTTCATAATCAGTATCCGCTCTTGTCCTTTTCTGTTACCAGCTGAGAGAAAATGGACTCCTTTTTGCATAGCTTGCACAAATATTTGGCCTATTTTTCTAGAGGTGAGAAGTGTTGGATGCAAGTCTGAGTCAACAGAAAATTGCTGATAATCAGAAGTATTAAAACGGACAAGTTTCCCATCTCCTCTGATACCTAACAGGCTAGTTCCCACTTAATTAAATAGGACCACAATTGAAGTAGATACTACATTTCAAGATTGTCACAGAGGCAGAATATTTTTCACATTGTACTTGAAAACTGATGAGAAATAGGGAAGAATTATCCATCCTTTTGCACAAACCCAAGATAACCAGCTCTTTCCTCCTGCAACATCCTTTTCCTTATGATTTACTAGCAGGAGTCTTCTATGTTTGTCCTCAAGTTCAACCATTTCCTCTTTGTGTTACAAATTCCTTTCCATCATAATACATAATGACCATTATGGGAGAAATCATAAACGTATTTCCAAAAAGCAATTATTCATAACTATACTTACCAATATGAAGTTTTCCTCCAAACCTGTTGGCTGGGAAAAGAGAGGTGGTCAACTAACATTCAGCTGGTAAGAACTAAAAAAAGCTAGGTTCTTGTTTTGTGTGTGTGTGTGCAAATGGCTAAAGGTTTCTCTGCAATACTTTTTAAGATCACCTGGTGCTTGGGAGATATTTGTCTGGTGAATTTAACCCTTTGTAGTATCCTAAGTCTCTTTTTCTTCTATTCTATTCTGATCCCTTTTCCTTTTGGGTCCATTTGGTTTGTTCTCTCTCACTGCAGCTTTTTCTTTGACAACTTCTACATTTTTTTTGTAGACTCCCGCTATTTTGCTGTTTACATTGAAAGGGGAAAGGAAAGATATGTGCTTATATTTTGCTATGTTTTTATTTGGGAATGAAAGAATAGCACAGAACTTTCCTTTATCTACACGAGAAAAGGATAGGGGCATGAATAAAAACCACAGCCAAAAAAAAAAAAACCCCACCCTGAAATAATGTTCTTCTGTGTAAATGCACAAACTCACAAGCTTCAAAGTGTATATAGATCAGATGCTCCCCAGAGTGACTTGCCTTAGGGAGTAAGCAATGAGTTGGCCAAATTCATAAATGATACTAAATTATTCAGGGAAGTGAAAGACAAAGGAGATTGTGAAGAGCTCCAAAAAATCTCTTTAAACCAGAAGTCTCCAAACTTAGCAACTTTAAGACTTGTAGTCTTGAACTCTGGCTGGCTGGAGAATTCTGGGAGAATTGTGGGAGTTGAAGTCCACAAGTCTTAAAGTTGCCGAGTTTGGGGCCACTGCTTTGAACTGTAATTAGTCAACCTCTCTAACAGCACATGGGTACAACTTTGGGAGACAGGAAGAAGAGCTATTGATTGGACAGCCAGAATGTAAAAGGAGGAGGAGATGAGTGGCAAGCATTTCATAAAGGACCCTCCCTAATTTTCCAGAAGGTGAAAGGAGGGGAAGGAATACTTTCAGAGTTTTGCAAAATTCTATTAATGTAAACATAAATATGATTAACATTTAAAGCAATGCATCTTTGAAGAACCTCCCTAACTTTACAAATATAGTACACTCGTGAAGTCTGACTGTAATAAACCAAACTTGGAGTTACAGTGGGAGAGCTCAGGGACAGCAGGTTTAGAACAAATGAAATAATTTCAAGAAGAGACTGGACTTCCATTGGTCAGAAATGGTGTAGGACCTTCTGCTTGGGTGGGTGGGTGTTAAGATTAGATGACGTACAAGGTCCCTTCCAACTCTGTGAACCTGTTAATTTCTTCACACTAAACAATTAACTTGTGGGCCTCAGATTATGGTGATTTGAAAGGACCTGGATACATTAATGGACGACAGTTTTATTAAAGAGTATTAATCTGATGTTACCTCTGGTTGTGGGGTGTGACCCCCAATATTAGCTGCAAGGAAGCAAGAGAGGATCGCATTTCACCTCCTACTCGGAAGCACCCAAGAGGTATTTAGTTTGCCCCTGTGAAAAATAAAATACTAGACTAAAATAATCTTTGGTATTATCCATCAAGGCTATTCTTCCATTCCTGCTCTTTGCGGTTTTCTGAATGGAAAAGCTAATGAAAGTTGAGACTATTTAAAACTACTCTGCCAATGTCATAAATCCCGATAGCAGAGAGCAAAAGATTTTCTAATTGTATTCGCTTACAATTTCCAGAGTTTATGCAAAACCTATCACAAACCATACAGCTGTTTCTCCTCCATCATACGCCTAGTAAATATTCTATTCACATCTGGGCATATTTATTTTTAAATACTTATTCAGCTAGACTCGGTATGCATTACTAGTGAACCTAAACTTAATCACGGATGCTCACTTTGGGAACTCAATCATGTACTCAATCATGTCAGCTTATTATTTCCTATTTCTATATTCTTTCATATATATCTAATAAAATAAATTAAATAAATAAGGGAAAAGACAACAAGACGACCAGTTTAAAATCTTTTCAATACTTGTTATATCACAACAAACATACCAGCCCCCAGACTTACATTATATTGTACCATGTTTTGGAATTAACAATTCCTCCCCCTCCCCCCCAAAAAATTAAATCTTGACCAATGGGGTAGAAATACATTTCCAATGCAAGCTCCAAAACTGAAAAAGAGACGAGTGCATTTACAAACAAGCTAGACAATAGAATCTTACACAAAGCATCGTTTACATCAGCTTTCCACACTGTATTGTCCTCCAGATGTACCGGGCTACTGACCTTATAGAGAATTATGCAAGCTGCAACTCATGGATTTACAAACCTCACATATCTGGAAAGATCTGATTGTGCGAAGTCTAGATGAGGTGGTGGCAAGATGCCACTGAGATTATATTGTTCTTTTAGAAGTTGGATGCATTTGTGTAAAATTTGCATGGTCAAAAATCTCTGTAGACAGGTTTTAGGAAGAAAACGGGACAGAAATTATACTTCATGACTACAGACCTATATTAAAAACGATGCTTCACATTTTCCTCAATCATCCAATCCACTTACTTCACACATGCAGATTTCATACAAGGATATTGACTGTATATATCATCAAATCTGATCAGCACAATCATTTTTCTTTCCAGGCTGATAGAAGCTTCTAGATTTGTTACACTGGCCATTGTGGTACCAATGGTGCTTTTTCAAAAGGCAACTGGACTTTCTTTGTTTTTGCTTGAAGACGTTTCGCTTCTCATTCTCCTTCAGTTCAGCCAGAACTGAAGAAGCTTCTTGGATGAGAAGTGGAATATCTTCAAGCAGAAACAAAGAAAGTCGAGTTGCCTTTTGAAAAATCACCTTTGGGACAACCATGATCTGGATGACTGAGAATTTCCAGAGACACTGGCCATTATACAGAGTGACTTTTCCTCTATACACAAATGTAATATTCATCAGAAATTACAATGTGTGAAAAAGCGTATGTAGTGAAATCCAAAGAAAGTGCTTTTATTGCTTAATGCTTACTCAAGAATGTAAAAATGAAATATATGCCATCAAAGGAACTTAAGATAGCATTACTCCCATCTGGTCTGCAAACCCCTGAATGAACATGAGATGGCAGCAAACAGACATAGAAAACACTAATTCTTTGCTGTTATTCAGTGGTCATTCAGATGTTTGCAATCTGCTTGCCCTACTTAGGTTCTGTAAAGGATTACACTTCAATGTCAAAATAAATGCTATTTTTAGCCTTAAATAAGTAAAAATTAATAGCAAAGTAGCAAATCTACTACCCGATGCCTTAATTTGATTAAGTCACGTTGTGTTGTGGTCCTCTTTTCTGAATAGCAGAGTTTCACAACAGCCAGATTGCAAAATAGAAATGAATCTAACAACAACTGACATTAAAGGAAGTTCCTAATGTCTGATGTGCTAATGTTCTTGTCCAATGATATGTGTGTGTGCGCATGCGTGTGTGTGTGTGTGTGTATTGCATATACTACAATTCCTATCAATTTCATCCAGGATACATAAGGGTGGCATGTAAGGGTAGAATGAATGAAAAATCCTGGTTGGTCCCATTTTAATATCATTTGGCACTCACTCTTGTAAATTTACCCTTGAAAAATATGCAGCAAAGATTTATTGGTTAAGGGTACGTGTTCCTCAACCAAAATTATTTCTCAGCTACCCTTCATATGAAAAGCTGTTGGGAATCCTTCTTATTTGATCTGCATTTGTTATATTTTTAAACTGTTTAACAGACACTGTACTACAGGCATATTTCTCTTAAGAAAGGCCATGTGAAACGTACACTGAAAGGTAGTCAGTGAGTTATTGATCCCTTTGCAGAATTCTCCAAATGGATGTATATTATTTTGAATAATTTAAAGGATGGATGTTAGTAAGGACATTGGAAACTAGAATGTAATTCCTTCATCTCCCTAGGAAAAACACAAGAGCTTCCATGTTATAATCCTGCGAAGATACATGAGTCGTATTGCTAAATAAAACCTCATTTGCAAAAAAAGAAAAGCATACAACCGAGACCTTCAATAATACTTTTGAATTTCACTTCTGCATTTCGTGGTGTTTCTCCGAGCTTTTTCTGCACAACCAAAGGCCAGAAAAAGAATTGGAATATTTCAGTGATAGGCCCGTGTTTGCTGTTTGCCTTTTTTTTCGCAATGTCCTTGTGGAAGCGACGTTCCAAAAGTGGCTTGAAATCTCCCATCTATATGAGATGGACAACAAGAACGGAGAAACCTGATCCTAGAGCTAACCCCACCTGCATGAAGAGCATCATCAACACTCCCGCTGCCTCCGACAGTTCCTTCAAAGTGACTTTGGGACCATATATAATCGATAATGTGCTCAGGTAGCCATTGCTGAGTCCTAGGGCCACGATAAACACCATCGGGTACACATCATGGGCAAAGGCGACTTTTGCAATGTGCGCGCGAGGCTGAAAGTTGCATAACATGAAAACGGGGATGAACAAAGTTCTCAGCAGAACCATGGTTGGTAGCCACTTGCTTTGTGGTCCAGGAACCTGGACCCACGCGGTGATCTGCCGTCCGCACCAGTCAGCAAAATTGTACAGAAGGAAACTAGTGAGAGGTGTGAAGTATTTATTTGTCCACGGGCTCCCTGAGAACTTGTTTACAGACTCGATGCTGGACGAGACCGCAGGGAAAATGGTGATCGAGATGAAGTAGACATAGAAGACGCAGAAACCTAACATGCCGATCTTCTGCAAGATGAGCCACAGAGGAGGGATTTCATCCGTATAGTTTCTGTTTGGCAAGAGCGGGCTGGGATTATCTGCTGCCATGTCCTCTTCCTCCAAGCAACTGCCGGGCAAAGCATTTGGTGAGAACGTTGCAGTATAATACCTGAAAAAGGATGGGGGGAGGGGGGGGAAGAGGGGGAAAATAGTCAGAGAGAAGCAAACCAACAGAAAAATCAAAACTGAAATCGAGATAGGAAAATTAGGGGATGGAAAGGAGCTCATTGGTTCATGTTGCTGTTGGTTCAGTCGTTCAGTTACTCCTCATTCTGTAATAGAATAACAGAGTTTGGAAGGGACCTTGGAGGTCTTCTAGTCCAACCCACTGCTCAAGCAGGAGAGCCAAGACTATTTTGGACAAATGGCTGTCCAGCCGCTTCTTAAAAGCCTCCTGCGGTGGAGCACCCACAACTTCCGTAGGCAGGACGTTCCAAGGGTAAATTGCAACAGGAAACTTCTCCTTAGTTCTAAGTTCTCTCCTTGATTAGTTTCCCTCCATTGTTTCTTGTCTTGCTTTCTGGTGCTTTGGAAAATAGGTTGACCCCCCCTCCCCCTCTTCTTTGTGGCAGCCCCTTAAATATTGGGACACTGCTATCATGTCACCCACCCCTAGTCCCCTAATCATCTTTGTTGCTCTTCTCTGTCCTCTTTTCACAGTTTCAGCATCTTTTTTTATATTGTGGCAACCAAAATTGGATGCAATATTCCATGTGTAGTCTTATCTATCTATCTATCTATCTATCTATCTATCTATCTATCATCTATCTATCTATCTATCTATCTATCTATCTATCTATCTATCTATCTATCTATCTATCTATCTATCTATCTATGGTATTCAGTTTTGTTCGGGTATTTTCCCACGTCATTATAGTTGTGCTTTTAAAGTTGTAGCAACGTAGACGAACACAATACAGAAGCCTGATGATGGCAGATGAGATTCTGCCGAAACGTTGCTACAACTTTAAAAGCACAACTACAATGATGTGGGAAAATACCCGAACAAAGAACCATAAAGCCCACAAACTTGAAATTTGGCATGTATGTTCCTCTTGGCTTCTAGGTGCTAGCTGAGAAAGGATTTTTTGAAATGACCATCAGCGCATTACTATTTCTTATACAGTAATTAACACGCTCTGATGCTAAGGAGTTCTACTCCCCCTCCCCACCTGAAAAGAGCTCTGTTCCAACTGCCAGTTACCTCACATTCTGTTACCTCAGTTCAAATTGGCAGACATTCCACTCCTTCACTCAGGAGCAGTCTGGGGCTCCTTACAGTACTAAACGTCAGTTCCTCACCAAAATGTCTACACCTTCCACCTATGGAACTGCTTCCAGACTCAAGGCAGCGGGAGTGATATTCCCTTATGTGCCTCAATCACCGACCACCACTGAGCCAACAGATGGTGAACCAATTTCTCCTGCATAGTCCAATAACGAAGTTTTGTCACGAAGCATGAGTATCAGTTAGTGCCTTACAAAACAGTACTAACGTTTCATGTGATCTTGATTCCATCCCTCTGTTAATGCAGCCTAGGACTGTGTTGGCTTTTTAGCAGCTGCAGCACACTGCTGGCTCATATTTAAGAGGTTGTCCGCTCGGACTCCCTGTTGCAGTTATTGCTATTGAGCCAGTACTCAATATTAGTGACTTACAAATTCTGCAGCTCTACGGCTGTTCTTGATCTCATCTCTAATGGAGGACATGACATGTTTCAGGAAGGCGGAATTCAGCAGAAAACTACCTAACAGGAAGAACAATTTAACAAAGGAACCAATTACCAAAGAGGTCGGATGTTCTACTTTGCTGGATGTTTTCATGCAGAGTGGACTGCCATGTTTGGGGTTTGCTTTAATTTAACTCTTTGGACCAAGTAGGAAACTGGATTCTACAGAAGCCTTCATGATACTTCTTAAGTCTCTCCCAAATTACAAAACTGCTTTTTCATGGATGAGAAGGGGAAAACCCTTCAACCTTTTACTTATTTAAGAACAGACTACCACAACTTTGGGGAACTATTTTCACAGCATGTCCAAGTTTAAAATTATATCTAAAGAATAAAACTTTGACAGAAGCATTGCACGGATCTTAATCCGTGAGAAAATATTGCTTTTTTGCCAAATTACAGAGGAAGTTTGAAATGCTTTCCATACCACTTCAGAGAACAATTTTGTCTAACCTTAGTGTGTGGGACTATAATTCAAATTGATGTCTTCTTGGGCAAACTGATTATGAATTATGGCACACAGAATTTATAAGATCTGAAGAACCATGGATTGGACGGTAATCAAATTCAACTGAGTTGCTCAATTGCTGTGAAAGACCATGAAGTTGTTATTTTCAAATTCTGGAAAAGGTGCCAGAAAAGACCTCAGAAAGAGGCCTTAAGAAAAAGCTGCCAACCATGTTACACTGCAAACAAATCAATAGTAGCAACAAGGATAATTAAAAAAGAAAAAAAAGAGAAAAGTCATCCTCGAATCTAGCTCCAATCCTGGCACTTAATCTGCATCCTTTCCTTGGCAGCCTTGAAAAGTAGTTTTCCGTTCTTTTCAACGCGTTTTTTCCCCCCGCCAACTTTCTAGTTCAATCCCACAGCTGTGGAATACTTTCATGGTCCTTTATCAAAATAACTAACCAGAGCTAAATGTGTTTAGCTTCCAAGACCAGTTAAGGATGGCTAGGTTTTCCTCCTTGCTCAGGGAAGAAAGATAACAGCCGATCTATAAAAGCCAAATCCAAGTTCTGTTAGAAGACCCAGACAGACGGTGCTCCAGAGTTTTAAGACTGGTGGCTACGCCTACCATCAGGAACACAATCGACACTGAAACTGGGGTTCGTTTTATACTGACACTGTATCCCTACCAGATTGTGTGGATCTGGGTTTTTTTGGGTTGGGGAAGAAAAAGGAAAGAATACAACTTGTAATATATCATGGATTTTCATTCCAAGATTGCATTGATCTGCCTGAGGAGAGCAAAGGGAAACAGAAGCAGCAGAGGTACTGCCTAACACTTTCCCTAGCTATAATAGGAAGGGCTTTCATGAAAAGGCAGCCTCGTGACATCCAGAGCTGAATCCTTAAACATCCGGCTGATTAAAGATCTCACAGGACAATGGTTGTTACCTGGCATACTCCAGCTTGGGAAGAATCAGATACATCACAATGCACAAAACAATGAAGACATCCCCGAACAGGAAGTAGGCCAGAGCGCTGTTTGTGACTTCTGATGCTGCTGCCAGATCCACCACTGAGGCCAAGGCACTCACCGTTCCTCCCATGGCCTGACCTATGTGATGAGGGTGTGGGGATGAGGAAGAAGAGGAGCAAAGGTCAATGAAATAAGTTCCAGACAATGCTGGGTTAGTCCAAAACGAAACGTGTTGAATGAGAGTCTGCTTGGCAGCCAAACTGGAGACGATGAAATCGAGGAGCAAGAGATTGAAATGGAGCTAGAAACGATAATCCCAGTTTTGATCCATTTTGCCTGGAATTCGGAAGTTTTAATTTATTATGCCCATAATGAATTTGTGTACTTTCTTTTGTTCCAATTTACTATACTGTGTGTTCCCTTGTCACTCCATAAATGTGGATGTAAGGTGATTTTTAAGTTCATACACTTTTCTTAATTGCTCATCAGCAAGGTGGCACATACACACATGCATAAACAACAACTGTACAATTTGAGTAATGAAAACATGCACACATTAACTAATGTTGCTTTTAACCCCAGCTAACATATGTAGAGGGATTAAATATATCAAAAAGTAAGATAATTTATCTGTTACCAGAGTAGTGGAACTCCCTAGCTATAAAAAGCAAACTATTTTTGAATCTTGTGGGAATTTCAAAAATCACCTCTGAGGAGACTGGAAAAAAACTATTTCTGGGGAAATAAAAAGGCAACATTACTTTCAAAATCTTGAGATTACCAGCCATATTTGGGTGACAAATCTGTAAAGGAAAGTGATAGATAACCAAGAGCTCAACATGTTAAATATATATATAAATTCATGATAATGTATGATTAAATGTTGGAAGGCTTCCAAAAAGAGTTGTGGTGAAAATCTCCACCAAGCTCAACCTTAACTACATTTGTTTCTGCCATCCAGGAACAAAAGTAAAAAAATTAAAATTAAAAAAATCTCTGTATTGATTTTTGTCTTTTCCTTTCTTCCCCCACATTTTTTAAATTCTCAGATTGCATTTCCAGTGCCATCCATCCTTGATAAACCTCAAGGGGACTCATCATTTATACCTGCAAACTTGGAACTCATCAGTTATGGAGATGAGAGTTAATGTGAATACCAAATAAGACAATGAAAAGCTTCAAGTTTCCCCCCACCACCACCTCAAAATATAAACAAATACGGAGCTGAATGCAAATGTTTTCTTTCAGTGCAGGTAGTCAGTCTTTGGATGAGGACTGGCCTTTAGTGACTGTTCAAAGTTATATCCACCTCCCTCCAAAATACTTATGACTTGGTTTTGAAGTTATGGTTCCTGCAGTGCCCCATAGTCACGTGAACAAAATTTGGGTGGATAAGCCCTTATGACCCACTGCAGGGACCTCCCCTGCCAGGTCCCACACCTTCTTGCCCCGCTCCAGTCGCTCACCTTTTACTGTAGATCTCCTTCTGGAAGCTTTGGAGAGCATGCCGGTGAAGGAGAGCAGGTCATTCTGCCCGTCGCCATCCCTAGGCCATGTGGCTCAATCCACGAAGTGGGCGCCATTTTGGGAGTGACCGCAATGAGTTGTGGCTGCTCTGAAATTGCACCTGCTTCTCAGAGGGTACCACACAACCTACAGGGTACCTGTGGTGATCTGGTTAGCAAGCCCAAGGCCCGCTTGGGACTCCAAGAGGGGCAAAGAGGAGCACAGGGTACCTCAGGGGGTGAAGAAGGCTTTGGGAGGTCTGAGGCGGGTGGACCAGGGGGTGCACAAGGCCTCCCATAGAATCCCAAAGCCCTGAGGCGATTACATGGGTGCCTCACTTAACAACCATCATAATGGCAGGCTCCATTACAGCCATGAGTTGAGGACTACCCATACCTGTAAAAACAGTTAAACCGCCCCAGAAGAAATGGCACAGAATGAGAGAGTAAGAATAAAGAAAAAGATGACCTCTTAACATAAATTTTATTTTAAACATCCCTTCATTCTATTGCACAAGTCATCTAGGTGTCATGCACCTGTCGGAATCCGATTCTGAGCAGGAGGCCGAGCAGCTGACAGGGAGTGGGAGTGTGGCTCCATTGGCTGTGGAAGTAATTGGGGAAGGGCACAGTTCTGCTGGGCAGAGCAGGGGAGAGGTAGAGCAAGGCAGAGGGAATTCAGAGGAAGATCCAGCCCCTCTTCATCCTAGGGCATGCAGGGAGGAACAGAGAATGGAGCAACGTGAGTTGTGTGGCTTACGGTGGAGGAAAGGGCCCTGATTCCCTTCATTAGCTGAAGCTGGGAACCCAGTGTTTAAAAAGGGAGTTTGCGCACCAAAACTTGTTGGAAACAAATTGTGTATTATCTTGTTTTGTCGAGGCTTATCTGGGTTCCTGGTATCTTCCCAACTGTGTGTGTTTTGTTGGCCTTTGAAATCTGCAATTCCTTATCCTACCCTGTCCAGTTAATTGCTGCAGCGTGGTTTGTGTGGATTTTTATTACAGGTTGTATGTACTTTGTTCTTGGATGGAATTTCCTCCACTTAAAGACTATTCTTGGGAGAGTTTTTTCTCCAGCTGAAAGTAACCTGGGCATTGGGGGCAAAGCTGTAGGTATTAAAGGGACTTTTCTTACTTATGTGACTGTTTTGCCTTTGTGCCACGCCCCGGGTCATCACACTAGGTTAAAAAAAGGTCACAGAGATTGAAATAATTGTCACATCATCTCACATGGACAAAACCCTCAGTGCAAATGTTAATCCAACTATCACCACAGGACACAGTACTAGAAGAATCCCACCAAGCTCCTATAATAATCAATCTATTTAAGCATATTTTTTTAAAAAGAAAAAACTAACAGCAAACCTGAAATCAGTGCCTGGGAATTCCTCATGGGAAAAGATCCTGACAAGCCAAAGATGCTACTGATGAAGATGGTGGCAGCACTGCTGATGACGGCCACACAAACAACGGTGATGATAAAAAACCACAGTGTCCAAGCTGAAGTGTCCACTTTGACCAGCACTGTAATCACCAGAAAACTGGCCAGCATGACAGCCAAGGAGGAGAGTATTCGGACGTTGACAGAAACCCTGGAAAAAAAGAAACAAATGAGTTGGTGGGTGGTCTCTTAACAAACCTCCCCTAAGATTCTCCCCAGTCCTGAGATTATATTTATACCTCAGTAAAAGCTCCTTTGCTTTGAAATGGCCAGGGGAGAAATTAATGGATATGAACAGATTGTCAACTCATAAAACATTTCTATGCTCGTTTTATAGCTGCCAACAGAAAGTGGGGAGGAAGGAGTTAGAAAGAGCAGTGCAGCAGTTTGGAATCACAAGTGCATTCCATTCATAACTTGCAAGATTGTAACTAGGCGACTAGTTTCTGCTGCGCAAATCTCTCATTGGAGAACATGATTGATGACTCTTGGCTATGGACATGTTTTCTTGGAGAATATAAATTATGATGCACCCAAAGCGGTGGGGGGAAACCAGGGTCAAGGGTGACAGTGAATTACCTGTCTCAGAATCGGCTTCAACCAGGTCCTGCTGACATGTTTGCTCCTAATAAATTCATTATAGGTTTTGAAGTTTGGCTCGAGGCTCATGATTTAATTAGGGCAACTGCCGGAATCCTGACACAGATCTTGAAGAATTACAGCACCATAATCAAATAAGTAGCGAGCATCTCTGACAAAAGAAGCCAACCAACCAAAAATTGCTTGGTTCCAGTTCTGTTATCAGGTCAGAACATGTGTCTTTTCACTGAAGACCTCTGTGCTATTCAGAAGCTAACAGAAGTATTAAATTTTTATCCTGGGAAAGATACAGGGTAGAAAGGAAAAGGTTCTTGAATGAGGCTGAATGTGGTAGGACAAAAAGGCTAAGAAATTAGATGCCATGGATAAACAGCCCACAGATTTTCTCTTTCATATGCTTAATTAAGAAATGCCAAATGACTGAATGCAGCCTTTGTACTGCAAATTAAATGTCCTTCTCTACAAATTAAACATTCTTAGCTTCTACATATGTGCTGCTGCTTTTCCCAGTGAAAATTTTCAAAACACTTAAAAGAAGTTAAACAGCTAGAAAGAAGAAATCCCAGTTAGGAAGTCCTAAATGTGGAAAAGATCATCTTGGGCAGTACTGTCCAAAGTGGATCCAGGGGGAAATGGACAGGAGAGGAAAGAAACGAAAATGAAAGTAGAATGACAATAAGAAGAAAAAGAAAAAAGAAAAGACCTATCTGGAAAATGATTTAGAATAATAGAGCTTTGGTGTATGTGGTTTATATCTATCAATGTTTGAAGATGGTCCTCGACTTACAACCATTCGCTTAGTGACCACTCAAAGTTACAAAAAGGGACTTACAACTAGTTTGAAAACTTATGATCGTTGCAGCATCCCCACGGTCAAAATTTGGGCAGGCGGCAATTGGCATGTATTTATGGCCACTGCACTGTCATCATTTGTAACTTTCCCAGCTAGCTTCCAACAAGCAAACTCAAAGAAGGAAACCATATAATTTACTTAACAACTTAAGAGCTCTGGCAAAAAAAGGTCATAAAATGGGGAAGACACATTTAACAATGGTGCCTTTCTTAGCAACTGGACTCAGTTGGGATCCTAAGTATGTTTTCATGCCACGAGACTGCAAAAACTAGAAATGTTGCCTGCCTAACCCTACGTCTTTCGACAAACCCTATCTGTTTGAACAAATAGCTTTAAGGAAGTACAACAAGCAAACAAAATTAATTATTCCTGGGCAAAAAGACATGCTAATGGACAACCCAGGTCCTCTCAGTTTTTTCCTCACCTTAATCCTGCAAAATAAAGTTAGACCTGAGATCCAGTTCAGACCTATTGCCACATTTTAATGATCACAGAGCGCCTTAAGGAGGACGGAGCATGGAGCAGTCATAAGTTAATCTCTGGAGGCAATCAAGCTACGGGGAACCAATTTTCCTGGGAATTTCCATAAATGCAAGCCAGGCTCATGTGTATTTATGATGCTGAAAACTTAGCATAATAAAACACTTATTGATTATGGATGCACCACTCGGCAGAATCAACAATGTGCCGAAGATAAATGAATGCTATGTTTAAAATGTAAGGCATTAAGCATAATGGGTTTTGCGAAATGGGATTCCCAAGCTAGGGAATATATAAGATGTTCCGGGTCTCTGGATCAGCTTTACTTCATGGAATTTGGGCAGATAATTTAATTCTCCATTGAAGGAATTCTACAAATAAGGATAGTCACAGTATAACAAAAATAATGGGGGCATTTTTGACAGAGAATGCCATTTAAGTGAGGACTTTCTCCAGTATAAAATTCCTAGGCTTCAGTAAGTATATCACGCCTTTATTGTGTCAATCAATTATTCTGTAAAGATGTGGAAAAATACAGTATTAAGTGTCCTTCCCGGAACCTCAGAGGCAGCGATTGGATTCAATTTTTTTTTACTACTAGTACTCGCCTACTCTGTGGGCGTGGCTTGGTGGGCATGACAGGGGAAGGATATGCAAAATCCCCATTCCCTCCCCACCCCACTAACCTGCTTTCCAGCTCCGTTCTCCTGGGCAGGGCAACAAAAGAAGACCCAGCCGATCAGCTGGGACTCAATGGGAGGCAGAGAATAGATGGGGGCGGGGCCAGTCAGAGGTGGGTTTTGCAGGTTCTCTGAACTACTCAAAATTTCTGCTACTGGTTCTCCAGAACTGGTCAGAACCGGCTGAATATCACCCCTGCTCAGAGGACCAGAAACCAAGATGCCTTTCGGGATGGCAATGTTTCTTCACCTTGGCAGCTTAAAGAAGTGTAGACTTCAACTCCCAGAATTCCTCGACTGGCCGGGGAATTCTGGGATTTGAAGTCTGCACCTCTGAAAGCCACCAAGGTTGAGAAGCACTGCAGTCAAGAACTAAGGATTTCCACCCAGAAGGAGTGGAGCTCTAGGGGAAGTTTGTCCAGTTCGCTCAGTGATAGGTGACGATAGTTTAAAAAAGACAGAAGTGTCCTTTAACCCTTGGGCCATGGCCCAGTACTGGGCCACACAGCCCATTCAGAACTGGGCCGTGCAAGCAGCAGACAAGTATGTGCAACTCCATTTGCACAAGCGGCAGGCGTGTGCACCCACTGCTTGTGTAAATGCACACGCGCACTGCTTGCACAGAACCATCCCCTCTTCCTTCCGTACTGGTCCTCAAAGCCAGAAAGGTTGGATATGCCTGCTTTTAATGTCCTGCCAAGCCTACCCTCAATTTATTGAACGTACACAAAGTCTGCATATGGCAAGCAAAGTAATAAGTCCAAGAAAAGAATTGCCAGAATGAATCGTTGAAGGGCAACTTTCCTGAACCCAGTGCCCTGCAGATGTTCTGAATTATAATTACCCACAACTCCAGAGTTTTAGATCTGGGAATAGGCAAGGCCGCAAGAAAATGACTGGGCTTTAAACTGAAATAGATCAGAGACCTTAAGCCGATAACTAATGGGATCATCTATCAAATCCCAACATTTTCTCACTTAAGTGACCGGTATCCCTGTAGAACAGGGGGGGGGTCAAACTCAAGGCCTGGGGGGCCAGATCCAGCCTGTGAGGTGCTTAGATCTGACCCACGGGGCCACCCTTTGCCAGCAAAAACAGAGATCAGGAGGGCCATACACAGGTTGCAGGAGGCCGTTGCAGCCAAAAATGGAGCTCCGGAGCCCGTTTTCACTGGCAAAGCGCTTGGGCCGCCCCCGACAAGAGTGACGTCAAGCTGGCCACGCCCACTCTGCCCCTCCTCCACCCGAGGTCAAACACAATCCGGATGCGGCCCTCAATGAAATCGAGTTTGATACCTCTGCTTTAGAACACACCTTAGGACATTTTAAAAGGTGGGGCTTGGATTGTCCTTCTGAGCAGATAAGAATTCTCACACCAAAATGTAACTTAGTGGCGTCAGAGCTCTCTGCATTTGAAAGAAAAAAAGCAAGAAAAGAAATGGAAAAGGGGATTGTGGGGCTTCATATAGAATTCTCAATCCCGAGACGTTTGAAGCCTATGGGTTTTGTACCTTTTTTTTTTCCACATCCCTTTTCCTGCGCTATCCTGTACATTCCCCCTTTCAAGTTGCAAAGCACAAGGATCAGGCAAGAACCAGGATACTAGAGAAGTGCTGGTCTCTCCATCCCACCTTCTCCTTCGAAAACAGTGACCTACTTTCATTTCACATGTGAGAGAGGCAAACCTGCACGGCTAGCAACTATGCCGTCTTCAAATAGTCCGTTGCCATTGAAGTAGCACTCAAGACTTCTTCTGAGTTCCATGCCACTGCAGACAGCTAAGTCCGCAAGGAGATCTTGACCTCGCTTCCAGCTTTTCTCTCCTTCCCCTTTGCCCAGCGTAGAGCTGTTGAATTTTGAGGCCACTGCCTTCTTTGCTAAGTTCTTGCTGATTCTCATCTTTTCCATACATTTAACAATCCTTCCCAATGATATTGCCCAGCGTGATGAATTGTAGTTCCCCTGGAGAACATCTGTTTGGAGCAGCCTCCATTAACCTAGTAAAAATGATCATCTAGACAATTTTGGATACGGTCTGTCTTAATTTAGGACACGCTATGACTTTGAGAAGTTTTGCTGTTGTGGCAGAGGATTTTTTGGGGGGTAAGCCCATTTTCTCATCAAGAGTTTTTAGCCTGACTTTTAAAGTCACTGCTGTGTTAATGCTGCAGCCCGGGGAGGCACATGGCATAGCCAAGGCCAGAGGAGGCAGGACAGAGGGGAGGAGGGAAAAGTAAGGCCACTAATGCAATCACACTTACTTGTTGACTAGCAGGAAGTTCCCAATCAAGCTCAGGACCGAAGGCACAGTGGAAGCCACAGAAATGTAGCTTTCAAAGAAATTCTAGGAGGAAGGAGGGGGAAAAAAAAAAGAAGCAAAAAGCATCAAAACAGAACTTTAGAAATTGTGCTGCAAAAGGGACAAAGGCATGAGGGGCCCAGTGGCCTAATGCAAGGGTCCCCAACCACCGGGCCGCGGACCAGTACCCGTCAGTGGAACATTTCCTACCGGGCCGCCGGTTTGCTGGGCGCCGCCATCTTGTTTGATGAGAAAGTGCTTCCGGGTGAGCTTTTCCGGTTGGAAAGCGGCGTTTGGGTCCTGAAGGAATCCTCGCACCTTAGTTTCACTGAAGGGGGGGGCTTCGAACGAAACTAAGGCGTGAGGATTCTTTCAGCACCCAAGGCAAGGCGAGCCGAGCGACTGTCCCGAAGCCCATCGACAAAGGTACAAAGGAGGAGTTGAAGGTGGCAGGGAGAAGCGGGGGACAGCTGGCTGGCTGGTCGCTCGGCTCGCCTTGCCTTGTCATGCGTGCTGATGCCAGTACCGGGCCACGGATCATTTTGTGATGCCAGTACCGGGCCGTGGCACAAAAAAGGTTGGGGACCACTGGCCTAATGGATAAGGCATCAGCCTCTGGAGCTGGGGATTGTGGGTTCAAGTCCCTCTGGGTCGTTCGTTGGCTTGGTGCCATTTGCCCAGAATGATACAGGGCAGGTATCAGCATTCCAGAAAACCCTCCACTCCAATAAATAACTCTTGAGACACACATCTTCTCCAAAGTTCTGTTTAACTGGATAGTAAACTGGCATATCTGGGGAATCCCGAATCTGAAAGGTCCAGGCTTCCTTGCAATAAGTAAAAACGACAAATCCACCCCGTGCACCCGTCATCCCGTCACATGCCCCAATCACCATCCATCCCAACTTGGAGAAATTCCCCTTTCCCCTTTTCCCAGGGCTCATGAAGGTGGCAGTGTGGAAGGGTCTCAATATGGCTTCCAAAGCTGACAGGCTGGGTTGTCAAACTCAAGGGGCAGAGGCTGGATCCAGCCCATGAGGTGCTTAGATTTGGCCTGGGGGGCCAACCCTGGAAACAGTGATGAATTGGCCTGCAGTGCCTCTGCCAACAAAAACAGAGTTCGAGAGGGCCACACACCAGTTCCCCCTCCCCCGGAGCTCCATTTTCACCAGCAGAGGGCTGCAGGAGGCCATCGCAGCCAAAAATGGAGCTCGGGAGCCCGTTTTCACTGGCAGAGTGCTGACATGAATGACACCCACCCTGGCCACGCCCACTCCACCTCCCTGAGGTCAAACACAACCCTGATGCGGCGTTCAATGAAATCGAGTCTGACCCCCCTGATACACGGTCTTCTGCTTGAGCAGGAGTCTGGATTAGAAGACCTCCAAGGTCCCTTTGCAAATCTGTTATTCTGTTATGACCTCCGCCCAGAACTCCCCGTCACAAACCAAAGCCACGGGACCCAAGAAATGCAAGAAACTGCAGAGGTTGCACAACGATCAAACCACCAACCTCTAGCTGAGAAGCACGCCTGCTACCTCCAAGTAACTATTCATAGGGTGTTGGGTAGAATGTCAATCATGTGACTGTGTGCAACACAACTGAAAAAGGAGAACTTCTCATTCCCGTGACCAGTAATGCATACTATGTGAATCCCCGGCATTGAGACTACAATGGGGATCTACAGATGGGGGGGGGGGGGGGGGGCCATTCTGCTAACATTGGGATTGGCTTGGAATAAACTTACTTTTCCTCCAGGAAGTTCTGAAGCTGCATTCAGAACTATATTCAAACATCGAATCACAGACAGTAGTTAATGTGAATAATTCAATGCTTTAAGACTCTCAGAGGCAAACTTCCTCTTATTTATTGAGGAAACATGCAGTAAATGTCTTTTGTTTTTGTGAATTTCTTTACAGATGTGCCCACTTGATTGCCATGAAGATTATATTGTGTTGAGGAGGGAGTATAACCCTTCTCACTAAAGCCATGATATCCTTGAAAAAGTCCCCTTCTGTGGCCATTACCAGAAGGTAAAGCTACCTGGAGTGATTGAGATTGGGTGACCTAGAAATTGTATGTATGTACATATGTATGAATGAATGAATGAATATCCCCTTCAAACTGAGCTCCACTCTTGATGATAATGGTGGAGGATCGGAAGAGTCAACTTCCCATCTCCAATGGCTGCAAATCTCAATAACATTTGGTTTTTGTGCAACAGAAAAGGGTGAAAGAAAAAGCAATTGACAGACTTTGAATACTGTTTCAGAGATCAAGGACAATTGCTATCAAACAATCATTTATAATCTTGCATGTAATACACACACACACACACACACTATCCATCCATTCATCCATCCATCCATCCATCCATCCATCCATCCAAATCTTTCTTTCTTTCTTTCTTTCTTTCTTTCTTTCTTTCTTTCTTTCTTTCT